TCTTGGATTATTGTATTGCTGAGAATAGCTAAATTATCCACATTTGATCATCATACAATATTACTGTGTTACTGCGTACAATGTTATCCTGGTTCTGCTCACTTCACTTTGCATCAATTCATAGAAATCTTCCCAGGTTTTTCTGGAAGCATCCTTCTCATCATTTCTTATAGCACAATAGTATTCCATCACAATCATGTACAACAACTTGTTCAGCCATTCGCCAACTGATAGCCATCCCTCAATTTCCAATTCTTTGCCACCACAAAAAGACCTTCTATAAATATTTTTGTATATACTTTGATCTCTTTGGGATACAAACCTAGTAGTGATATTTCTGGGTCAAAGTGTACACACAGTTTTAGAGGCCTTTGGGCATATTTCCAGATTTTGATCCAGAATTAAGGTTAGATCAGTTCACAACTCCACCAGTAGTGCATTAGCATCCCAGTTTTTCCACATCCCCTCCAGCATTTTTCATTTTCCTTTTCTGTTGTATTGGCCAGATTGCAAGCTTCTTGAGGGCAAGGCATCAAATATAAAAGTTGTATTTTCCCAGTTCCTAACATAGTGCTCTGCACATAATAAACAATAAATGTTGAGTTGAATCTCAACATACTTCTTTACCATTCCCCTCCCTGCCTTCCTCATTTTGTAGTAAATGAAATGGCGAGTTTTCAACAATTGACTTCGGGGCAGCTAGGTGGCACAGTGGATAGAGCAGCAGCCCTGAAGTCAGGAGGACCTGAGTTCAAATGTGGCCTCAGACCAAACACTTGACACTTATAGCTGTGTGACCCTGGGCAAGTCACTTAACCCCAACTGCCTAAAAAACAAAACAAACGATTGACTTCCTTCTTGCCTGGCAGTAGATGACAATAGTAGCATAGCCCATTACATTGAAGAAATGCAGGTAAAGCACATTGCTCATATATTGGTATGCTATTTCATGCTGTAGTCTGACTCCATAGAGACTCAGTTGTAAGAGATCTTGGGTGTCATGGAATCCAACTCGTACTTGAACAAGAACATCTTCCACAATATACCCAGTATGGTAGCCAACTGCCACTTAGGAGCCTCTAATAAAGAAGGATACACTGCCTTAAAAGGTGGCCCATTCCATTTTGGGAAAGCTCCAACTGTTAGGTGATTTTTCCTGATTTTATGCCTGAATCTGCCTCTTTGCATTTTCTGCCTATTTCTACAGATACTTATCAAAGGACAAATTTTAACTTAGAAAAATACTTGAAGACAACTATCATAATCCCCCAAGTCTTCTCTTGGGTATTTAACCCTAGTTCCTTCAACCAATCCTATTATGGTATGGTCTCAAATATTCCTAACCAGCCATGTCTTCCTCCTCTGAATGCTCTCCAATTCGCCTTCATCCTTTCTAAAATGTAGTGCCTGGAAATGAACACATTTCTCCAGATGTGGTCAGACTCGGGTAGGCTATACTTTGCTAGACCTGAATGCTTTGCCTGTCTTAATGCAGAGCAATCCCAAGGAAATTAGGGTTTGCTCTAGATTATTTTAGATCTACCCTTAATTGATCCTGGGTATAGTAGGTTGAACCAGATGCTCGGGCCTATGTGAGAATGGGATTTCACTGCCTGTTATTTCCAGAACTCACCCAAGTTGTCTCAGTTCAGTGAAGTGGGGATATTCTTCCAAAGTCTTCAGGACTTTTAGGGGTAAAAACTATGATGCAAATATCTATTGACCTGTCTTCTTTTTGACTCTTCCTTTTTATCTCCCTTCTGCCTGTTTCTTGTAAATACAAGATTTGGTCACTGGAATTAGCCTTTCCTGGACCTTTTTAATCCCAGTATCTTCTCTCTGAGATTATTTTCAATTTGTCCTGTTTATATCTTGTTTGTACATGATTGTTTGCATGTTATCTCCCCCAGTAGAATGTAAGCCCCTTGAGAATAGGGACTGGATTTTGGCTTTCTTCCTATCCCCAGCATTTAGCATAGTGCCTGGCATATAATAGGTGCTTAATAAATGTTTGTTAACTTGACTGACCTTACTTGAAAGGGTCTCAGAGACCGTCAAATCTAACCCATTTATTTTCTAAATGAGGAAGCATAGGCACAAGCAAGTCATAGCTTGCCAGAGGTCAAACAAATTTGTTATACAACCTCAACTGGTCTCTCATTGCCCCTAGGTAGTCCTTCTGTATCTGTGTTAGCAGCTCACTATCCCAATCACTGCAGTGGCTCTTCCTTCTTAAAGCTCCCATTGCTCCACCTACTCCCACTTTCTCAGCAGAGGTTCTTGCTTTGTATTTTACAAAAAATTGGAAGCACTCACCTTAAGCTTGCTTTTCTCCCCTCTTCCTCATTTCCTATCACTTAAGTGTCTTCTGCCACTATCTCTTCTTTCACCATTGTCTCACATGATGAAGTGGCTTTACTTTTTTTTTTTTAACAAGGTTGACCCCTCTGCCTGTTCAAGCAATCTCATTCCATGCTGTCTCCTCTGAGAGATTGCCCTCTTTATCATCGCTGTCACTTATTTTCAATCTCTCCCTGTCTAGTGCCTCATTCCATACTACTTACAAACATGCCCATGTCTCCCCCATCCTTAAAAACCATTACTTGATCATTCCATCCCCACTGTCATCCTATATCACCACTGCTCTTTGTAGTTAAACTTCTTAAAAATTCCTTTTATAATAGATGCCTCTGCTTTTTACTCTCTTACTCATTTCTTAACCCAGCTTCTTCAGGCTGGCTTCTGACCTTATCATTCCACCCACACTGCCCTCTCCAAAGTTACAGTGATCTTTTTGTTGCCGAATCCAGTGGCCTTTTCTCATTCCTTATTCTCCTTGACCTCTCTGCAGCTTTTGACAGTGTTTATTACTCTGTCTTCCTTAATATTCTCTTCTATCTAGGTTCTTGGTATACTCTTTTCCTGTTGCTCCTACTACGTCTTTAACATCTCCTTCTCAGTCTCTCTTCCTGGATCCTCATCCAGGTCACACTCTCTCACCGTTGATGTCCCGCAGGGTTTTGACCTAGGTCCTCTTCTCTTCTCTATATATATTACTTTACTTGGTGATCTCATCAGCTTCCATGGATTTAATTGCCATCTCTATGTTCTATGATTCTCAAATCTACCTGTCCTTTCCAAATCTTTGCTGACCCCCAGTCTCATTATTTCCAACTGCCTTTCAGATGTCTGACAGGTACTCTTTGATTCTGTGACACGGGTCTCTTTGATGTTGTGCTGAAAACAAGACATTCCATCTCTCAGCTGTAGGCGTTTTTGCTGGCTGTTCCCTGTTTTTAATACTCTTTCTCCTTAATTCCACTTACTGACTTCCTTGACTTTCTTAAAGTTCCAACTAAAATGCCATCTTTTACTGGAAGCCTTTCCCAACCCCTCTAAATTATAGTGCCTTCTCTCTGTTAATTATTTTCTAATTATCCTATGTGAACTTGTTTGTATGTGTTTTGTGGCATGTTGTCTCTTCGTTAGATTGTGAGTTTCTTGAGGGCAGGGACTTTTTTTTGCCTCTTTTTGTATCTCTGGTGCTTAGCACATCATAGTAAGCACTTAATAAGTGTTTATTGTTTGATTGACTGGAGCAGCTCTCTGGGGCTGGGACTAGAGGCCAGTTCTCCTATATCCCATTTCAGTGTGTTTTCCATTCTAACACACTGTTTCCTATGATTCTAAGCTGTGGATTGTTTTCCTCTTTTAAGAATAGGATACTGGGGACAGTACTACAGATGGTTTGGGGATTTAAACTAATCTTTGTGACTTCTAAATATGTCAACAATCTTCTTCCTCATTTCTTTTCCTTCTAAGCCCTTGTTTCAGAAAAGATGAATAATTTAGTGAAATTCCAGGGATAATAGAAAGGAATAAATCCTCAGACCAAAGAGCATTCCACCACCTCTGATTTTTACTCTTGTATTGGCTCTTGGATTTTTGTTTTGCTTTGCCCAAAACTGACTAGAGTTGGTATATGCAGTTCTATGTATAAAGTAATGTTACAAAAGAAGCTTTTTATATTGTTTTCTTATAGGTTTGGAGAAACTGACAAAGGGAGAAAAACACTCCAAGAAAGAAAATATCTCATTCATCATCAATTATTATAATCAAACATCATCACTAAAAACAGTTGTATAAAATGAGTTAAATCCTCTCTCTCTCTCTCTCTCTCTCTCTCTCTCTCTCTCTCTCTGTCTCTCTCATTCTCGCTCTCACTCTCTTTCTCTCTCCCCCTTCCCCCTTATACCTTCTATCTCCCTCCTTCACTGGTAAAAGAGAGATTTTTTCTTGTCATTTGGGAGATGGCTAAATATCTTGGCCTGTTTATATTATTCCTAAAGTGATTTTCCCAAAGCACAGATCTAACCATTGTCACACCTTCTCCATCCTTCTCCCCCCTCCCCTTAAAAAACTCTATTGGCTTTCTATCACTTTAGGCCCAAATACAGGGTGTCCCTGCAGATTTAAGTTTCAATCATTTAAAACTGTAATAAGACTTTTAGACTACCTCTATAAACTTCTCTGGCATTTAAAGCTCTTCACAACCTAATTCCATCCTCTTTCTAGCCGTATTATACATGATCATGTTCACATCCTCTATAGTCTAGCCTTACTGACTTTCTTCCTGTTCCTCACACAGGACATTCCATCTCCCAGCCCTTAGCACTGGCTGCCCCCTCCCCCCTTCACAGCTCATGCCTAGAAGGCTCTCTTTCCTTACCTCTGTCTTTTGAAGTTCTTTTCTTCCAAGACTCACTTCAAGCTCCATCTTTCCACCCAGTTTCTACCCTCACTCCCCCCACCCCACCCTATATTACCTTGTATCATTTTGGATGTGTTTTTTATATACCTGTATGTGTGTACATTGTCTCTCCTGTTAGAATGTAAGCTCCTTGAGGACAGAGACTGTTAAACATTTATATCCTCCGTACTTTTTTCTTTGTATCCCCTAGCACTATGTATAGCACATAGCCTGGCATGTAGTAGGTGCTTAATAAATGTTTATTTACTGAATGACAGTGGTCAGTATGTATATAATCAAAGTACATTGATTGATTCTTTCATGCACCCAGATAGTATTCTGCCTGACCCCAACTATCATAGGTATTCTCAGTTAAAGGGGGAAAAAATGAATGATAGGGAGATTAAACTTTGCTGTCATATAGTAAATCCCATTGGCAAGTGCTGGGCATGGAGTCTGATTTCTTTAACTCCACCTTTTCTGCAGTATATGTCCTTCTGCCTCTCAGAGTATACTAAGTAGGCAAAGGAATGCCCGTAGCGGAAGCAGGAGTGGCTTTTTTCTCCTGCCATGTGAAATCTGAATACAGTATGTTTGTTAACATTTGTGTCTACCTTCACTCCTCCAGGTTCTTTTGGTCTCCAACTGATCAATACAAATGGCTACATGATAGAGTTCCTGCGTTTGGAGAAGGCAGGAGGTGGTATCTGTAATGTATTGCCACAGATGACTGATAGCTTCAAACAATAGATGGGCTGATACTGCCCTAGAATGTCAAGTGTGAGGGCTTTTCAGCAGTGATTAGTAGGATGCCGTCTTCCATGCCATCTGATATCTCTTAATCTTTTCCGTGTTTGGAGGACAGCTCGCTGCAGACATTACCTAGCAACAAAAATAGCTTGAGTCAGTTGGGGAAAGAAGCAGGACAGTTGTTATTTATCATGCTGAGATGATGCATTGTGGTTTAAAAATGGAGAAGGAAAAGCCAGATTAAATATTGACATTTACTATATTCCAACTGTGTTACCTTTTAGCTTGTCTGACACAAACGTATATATTCAATAAAAGGGGGGAAATAAAATCTTCACCTAAGTTATCTTGGAAGTAGCTAAAGTGAAAAGGTTTAATGATTTATTATTTAGCATGGCCTGAGTGGAAAAAGCCTTAGGAATATAGCTTTCATCTCTACAAAACCTTTTTCTTAATCATATCACAATGTAGTATGCCCCATAAATAAAGGTTGTGTTAGACACCACAATTAATTGTAAAGCTATGGGCTTCATCAAGTAGGGAAAAATGATCAATTTGAATTTTCTGTGTAGACTACAAATTCAATAAAATAGATTTTCAATCATATAGTCTATATTAAATATGGAATCTATCAAATAATATTTACTAAATGTGTATTACATAAAAGATCAAATAAATTTACTAAATATAGTAAACAAAATATCAAATGATATTAATAATAAATACATATTAAGTAAAATACCAAATAATATTCACTAAATATATATTAACTAAAATATCAAATATTTACTAAATATATATAAAATACCAAATAATATTTTCTACATGTATATTAAACAAAATATAAAATAATTTTTACTAAATATGTATTAAATAAAATATGGTTTTAAAAGGGAGTTTGAAGAAGGCTTTCAACCTATAGGTATATGGGTAGGAATTCAATTTCCCCAGAATAATGTTTATAATAAGGAATTGTTAGAAGAGTCTTTTAACCTAATTATTTAAAGGCAGAGCATTCTTTTCCTTATTGTACATGCTGCCCTTGACAGATCTTTTCTTCTTACTTTTACTGTAGTTGAAAGTTGTAGAGGTTTTGCTTACTGTTGACCTGATGTCTCCAGAGATTCCGGTTCAAATTGCAACTCAACGTTGTTAGGTTTGACCCTACTGAGGCAAAGGTAGGATTCCTGCTTCTCCGCTGGGTAGTTAGGATGGTTTTCTGAGTCTTACTTCACACCAAGCACAGATTACCAGTCCACCAAGTTTCTACAATGAGGAAATCATTGTCTGTAGTAATCTATGAGTATAGGCATATGAGATTATTCAGGAGGGCTCTGCTGAATATCATGGTGGAATTCTGAAGAAGAAAAGAGTAAAATTCTGGAATATTATTCTTAAATACCACAAAATATTAAGACTGGAAGGGACCTTTGAGATAATCTAAGCCAACCCTTTCATTTTAGAGGCAAGGAAATTACTTCAGGCCCTGTGTCAAACAGATGAGTTTATTAAGAGAAAAAGTTTGAGAGAAAAGAATCAGGCTAATAGTACCTTTTGTTACTCAGTTGACAGGACCCACAGTTAAAAATTTCTGCTGACAGATGAAATTTTAAATGTACCTCATCTGTTTCTCTAAGCTTGTCTTCGGTCAACAAATGTTTTCTATTCATCAGCCTGCGAAACAACTTTAGCGCTGTCACTTGCAATGAGTTCACTTATTTGTCTTTGAGGAGAAATACAAAGCCTGTGTTTTTCTCTCCTTTGCTGAGGTATGAGGCAGTGAAACAGGAAATGTAATGATGTAATATATGAGCCAACCTCTACCTTGAGAGGAGGGGCTCAGGAATGTGGCTTAATGAAAAAAGGGAAATGCATGCTCTTTGGTGGATTCTAGGCATGTTCTCAGAGTTAGGATGGCAACCTTGGTAATAGTTAAGCTAGGTAAGGACTGAGTTCATAGGTCCTACACCAGAGTGATAACTTAGGAAGTCTCCTAGTCAAATCCTTTGCCCTCAAGTAAAAGTTTCCGTGATGTCCGTTGTACAGATATAGCAACTTGAGGTCCAGAGAGGTGAAATCACTATAGCTCCCATATACAAGTCATAAGTATTCTTCTTAACAAAAATTATGCCCCATCAGTTGCCTCTTTTTAGTTATAGCTGATGGCTTTTGTTCAACTCTCCTCCTGCATTTTGATACTGTTGCTGACTGCTGTCTGCCTTTTAAATTTTTCTTGTCCTTTGGTTTCCAGGACCCTGAAATATTTTCTTTCTCCTTTCATCAATCAGACCTCCCCAGCTAGAGAAGAAAAGGCTCTGGCACCACTTTGTTGTTGTTTAGTCATTTAAGTCATGTTTAATTCTTTGTGACTCCTTTTTGGGCTTTTCTTGGTGGAGATACTGGAGTGGTTTGCCATTTCCTTCTACAGCTCATTTTACAGATAAGTAAACAGGCAAACAAGGTTAAGTGACTTGCCCAGGGCCACACAACTAATCTGATCTAAGGCCAGATTTGAACTTGGGTCTTCCTCAAACCAGGCCTGGCAGTCTGTCTGTTGCACCACCTAGTTGCCTAGATGACACTGTTGGATAAATCTTGAAGAATATACGAGAAGGTTATTCAGAATGAGGACACAGGAGGAAATGAGCTCAGAGGGTAGACTGTTTTAAAGATTTAAGTTGATCATAAGGAAACTTATCTTGAGCATGAAGATTATTGGACATGGGGCTTTGATATTGAGAATATTTTGGCACCTTCTTCTCCGCATGTATTTAGCATGGCATAGATACAACCTCTTTGTCCAGGAGTATCTAGGCAAAGGAATAAAATAGATTACAGTAACAGTCTCTTTTGGTTCTTTTAAAAAGACCTTTAGTGAGGGGCAGCTAGGTGGCATAGTGGATAAGCTCTGGTCTTGGAGTCAGGAGGACCTGAGTTCAAATGTGACCTCAGACACATGACTCTTACTAGCTGTGTGACCCTGTGCAAGTCACTTAGCCCTGATTGCTTCACCAAAAAGGCAAAAAAAAAAAAAAGACCTTTAGTGAAGATCTTTAGTTCATAGCTTCTCACTAGCTCTTTGTAATACTTATTAGATCCTATTATGGAGATAATAATACAATCTTTACATCCAACTGAAGTAATTCTCCCTGAAGTTTAAACCACCTAGTAGGGATGAAGAACAGCTTTGGGAGATCAGCATTCAGCTCTTAAATCTAGAATTAAATCAAGGACTTTAGGGGTTAAGGAAAACCAAAAATGGGCATTGATCTGGGCCAGAGTATTTTTATGGTTTGAAAAGACAGCAGTTGAAAAGAAATTTGACACTCTTGCTTTCAGCTCAGAGTTGAAGCTGCTCTCATCCCTTTCTCCCTATCTCCAGGTTAATGAAAGAGCTGGGGGGTGTGAATTGCAGGATTTGTGGTAATTACCACTAAACCACAAAATTAAATTAAACCAAAACTAAAACCACACAGTATGAAATGTCATCCCTATATTTTTCTTTGCACTCTCAAATCTGATGCAATCTGGCTCCAAGATATTGGCAAGGCAGTTCAGCTGATTTAAAGATTATGCACTAACTTTACAAGGATTTGAACCCTCAGCATTCACTGTAACCTTCTATTTGAAATAATTTTTTGTTTTTATCAGTTTTCCTAACATTATGTGAGAAATATACATAAGTTCAGGAAATGGAATCAGCAAATAGTAAGATGAATTAATGAGTTTAAAAACTGAAATGTTCAATTAATTAGTAATTTCCACCCGGCTTGCTGCCTGACTTATAACAAGAATGCTGTAGTCTAAATAAAGATTAGACTGCTTAGCTTTTGGAAATTTGATTAAACTGTCTTTATTTTTAAAGATGGGACTATTATAGTAGTTTATTAAACCTTCTTAATCATTGCCATTTCTCATTGATAACCCACTCGACTTTGTTTTAGGCTTTTTGTAACTAAAATTCAGGTAAGTATGCCTTATCTTCTTTTTTTTCTTCTGTTAATATCTCCTCTTTCTCAACTCAGATTTCTATTAGAAAGAAAGAATAAACAGACAAAAGGAGATAGATGGGAAAGAGGAAGGATATCACTTCTGAGAACTGAGGGTACCTTAATTGAGGGTTATTTTGTCAGCTGGGAGGCAGGAAAATTTCTATCAAGTTTAACAATACTAGGAAATCTGGGTGGGGAAACCAGAGAAGAAATACTTTTGATCCTTACACCTTCCTTGATGGCTAACACTCCTTTCTTTTTTCCCTTTCTCACTTATATCCTGCTTTCACATGATTCTTAGTTCAAAACAATTGAAATCCTACTCTCCATTTTATAAACAACAGAAGATATCTCCATGTACCCATTTCTTCCACTTTGCCCTCACTTTAGTCCTGCCTCTGAAGTATTATCTCTCCTCATTCACATGAACTGTCTCTCTTTATTGTAATTTAGATATGTCATCCTAGACTCAAAATTTGGGAAGTTTTTGAAATCAACTCACCATGTTGGGCCCAAGATTTTGAAATCTTAGCAATAGGGAAAATTAATGAAGCTTATTTTGGCCATTGTACCTAGTAACCAAGGGGTCCAAGCTTTTACACAGCCCACTTTCTGTCTTTGGCATAAGTGATTGCCTTTCTGACTTCTTTCCATTTGGGCTAACATTGAATGATGATCTCCAAATTTACCAAACGTATTTGATTACTGAACTGAAGAGTTCAATTTTGATCTCTTGCTTGTAAAGGATGATATTGAGCCTTGGGTAGTTTTTCCATGGCATTCCTGATCCTATTTTTATATTGCCTCTTTTCCTCTTAGAAACACTATTTTACCACCATTCTCTCCTTCTTCCCTCAGAAGGTAAATAGTATTGGTTCCAGTTTACAGGTGATGGAATGGAAGTAGTAAGAGGCTGACTTAACTATAGCTTGTAGAAAACTCTCCAGTAAATCCATATGAAACTAAAAAGAGGACTCTGACTTTATGTTTCCCCTCCAAATGTGACTTCTTTCCTAAATCAGATGGAGGCTGATGATTTAGACTTCACCCAACAAAAATGGGGTCACTTAAAATTGAAGAAATGAAACACCAAGCATTCCTTTCAGTGTTTGTTTTTGTAAGATAATATGCTGTGCAACCAATGTGTATTGTTGACAGTAACCACAGAGACAAAATCATCAAGTGAATAAGTTACAAGTCCTTGGTAGGTATTATCATCACATTGCCAGTAATTTGTAAGACTATAAAACAGATCATCAAAAATAGATGATGTAACAAATTTAGAAATTTTTTTTTGGAGGGGAGAAAGAGCTGTTGGCGACTTGACTAGCAAATTTTGCTAGATTTACAAATAGGATAAACTAGAAAAGGAAGCTTGAATCTGGCTTCAAGCCCTCACCTCAATTCTCATTAAAATGATGGAATAAGAAGAAATTGCCTTGGGGTTTTCCAAATTTACAGCAGCCAGAGAGGTTGTGGAGGGGCTTTGGTGCTGCAGTAATGTGTGTGTGTGTGTGTGTGTGTGTGTGTGTGTGTGTGTGTGTGTGTTTAAGAATTGCAGGGAGAGACCAGTTCTGTAATAGTAATTGTTGGGGGAGAATTGAGGAACTGGGACGATGTCCTCCCATGTTCCTACTAATAGGATTTCATTTAAAAAAAAAGAAAGCTATTTTTCCATCTTCAATCTTAAACAGGTATGATAGCTAAGTATTAATATTAATGAGCATAATAACAATAATAAAACTGGCAGCAGCATCAAATGAATGGGGTCTCCTGCAGTAGAAATATTTACCCGATGTGTCCTGCCAGTTAGAGAGATTTTGGCATCAAACCTAGACATTACCTCATCTTCCTGGGCAGACAGCCTATTTCTATGCTAAGCAAGTCTGCAGGAGTGAACGACTGAATACCTACCTGATTAGCTGGGCTGCAGCAGATCCTGGTTGGAAGCTATTTCCTTTAAAGTCTGTCTGTCTGACTGGCTGGCTGGTGGGCTGGCTGTCTGAATCTTACACTTTCTCTTTCTCTCTCTCTGTAGGATTTGTCACCATGTATCATCCAACTATGCTTTTTCGTGTTAAAGGGCACAGTGCATACACAAAGGTCTGCCAGACAGGTGGGCTAGTGTTAATACACATTGAAATCAGAAAGGTCAAAATTTATGGGATGGAAAGGAGTGTTGAGTATGTGTGTTTCTCTCAGTCCCTGTAAGAGTCAGAGACATTTATGTGAAACTGGATTATAAGAAGGGAAATAAATAGAAGAATGATTTGGCTATGAGACTTTTATTTCAAATACAACCAAATATTCTTTTTTGAAGACTTAAATTGGCAGCCCAGGAAAGCAGCTCATTTTTTTTAGCATTTTTGTGAATTTAGTTTGTGATCCTTATAATCTTGTCAAACATAATTCTTAAAATCCCTTTCTTCCACTCATCTCAAGGTACTTTTGACTCTAAATTGTTATTATAACTCAGCTGGATCTGGTATGATACCATTCATTCATTCATTCATTCATTTTTTTTTCATCAGAGTTATTGTGTCAATGGCCATATGGTGGGTATTCACTTTAGCAACGTGGACTCTTGGATAAACACAAAACAATAATATGTTGCTGTGTTACAAATTTCCTGGTGCCATTATGAATGGCACTTTATTTTTTAGTAGCAAAATATGTTCATTTACCAGTTCCATATGTCCAATTTGTATATCGGGAAACCACCCCAATTGTGGAGATTAATGCTTG